GTAAGCCTTCATTTTATCAACTTAACATTGACCTTTTCATTGAAGTTGTTACTCCGCGAAAACGGATGTGGACTGCATACCTGAATCTGTATAATAATAATGCCGGACCGTGTTGTACCTTAATAAACAGTTCGTAAATAATGATCAGGAGTGAGTGAGACTGCCAACACATTGGCCTATTTTTATCCAACAGAATCGTTTTGCGTCAAGTCATTCTCTCATGAATGCCTTTTTCATCGGTCCAAAATTGGACATTAACTGTAAACTCTTACCTGAAACTATCGGATGAACTTGAGGCAAAGGTCTCCATAAGGATGACCTGAAGGGCCGCCTAATCACGGCACGGGAACAGAAACCACCGACAATGCGTATAGCTTTGGCTCGAATTCCAGGGGACTTAGGTCTAGGGTCAAGGTTAAGATCAGGACTAGGTTTGAGGTTAGGCTTAAGGTCAGAGTAAGGAATCGTCTCAGGATTACGCTAATGGTTAAGGTTTGCGTTCGCGTTACCTCTAGAGTTTGGGATTAACGTAGGTCTGTGGTTAAGGTTACATTTTGTTGTACGGTATGGGTGGTTTTAGCGTTAAGACACGGAAATATTTACGCTTCCTGAAATGTATCATAAGACCACCAATTCTTAGTGGGCAGGACATTCCTATTACCGTGTCTTGTTTAGGCGACGATACAAGTTGTCCTCACCAAATTTTCAAATCAAAAAGTATGCGTATATATTATCTAAGAACTATCAATGTCAGCGAATTAACCTCGAACTATTTAAAATGTATGCGTAGTGTTCATAGAAGACCTCTGACACCCACGGGTGAACCCAGTCCCATCCACGTGCCTCACATATAAACAAGAAATCGGTTAGACATATAAGTTTTATTTCCCCGCTTCTTTTCTCCGTTCACCATATTTGCCAAATGTTGTTGACTAATGTTTTAAATGACCGGCCGTTGTGAATCGGATGTGACTCAATATGTATAACATTTCTGCTGTTCATATAGTTGCTCAAACGCAGCTGTGATTTTTACCACAGCACTGAGTTTGTAATGACAGGGCCCCGGGCCATAAATACACAATAATTATAAGTCAGATACATCCTCAAGTACCGAAGGATGGCCTGGACCACGTTTCAGCATGGTCGTCAGCAAATGGTCTTCTTCTTAACGACTGGGAGTCAGTCCAGTGTGTTTTTCGACTGCAGCCCTTCCCAGTCCTGAAGCCATTGACATTCAGCCCAACGAGGTATCTTCTTTCCGGTACCTTGGTGTTACTCTGGCATCTAACCTCTTATTTACTCTTCATATTGAGGGGCTTTTTATTAAAATCCGTAACCTTTTATACTATATCCGCCGCTTGCCCTAATCTAGCGATTTATAGATGGCTGCATTCTACCCCTCATTCTTTACTCTTCTCCAGTTATTTTTCTAGTTTTACTTAAAAGAGACCTGTTCATTTTCACACGTATCCTCCGAGTGCCCTCTTCAGCGGCCAGTGTTTCCTACGTTTTTTTTAGCTGACATTACAATACAGCGACACTTTAAAACGGTCAAGCAATTTGCTAATCGCACCCTTAGTGAGGTAGCTCACCCTCTCCACTCTGAACTAACGACTGCGAAGTCTTTCCGTACTATGCGCCGAAGCTTCCGTCATATGTCTTGCCGTGCATCGACATATCAGCACTCGATACTCCAATTCCTAGCACGCTACCTCACGTGTGAAGAAACGGAAATTTAGAAGCTGAAAGTCGACCTGTCTCCATAACAACTGTGGAAATCGTTTAAACCCTTAAATTTCAGTATTCTATGACCTTTTACCATGGCCCCTTTCACTACCTTATCCCTTGCTCTCCGTAAATGGAGTCATTTTTTGCTGAAAATCTTGGATATTACCTCCAAACTAAAGCATTCTCTCTCTCAAGTATTATTATTCTAGAATGCTAGAAGGAGTGCAACAAAATGCAAGCCAAACAGGACGGAGTGAACTGTAAGGAACAGGACAAATCCCTATATGAACTTTCCGTACTCCTTCAGATTTTACCTATTATTCAAGTGTGAAGAAATATTTGTCGAAGGTTTACCGAATGCAGAACTTAAGCCAGTCGGTCAGTTTGCTATGTCGTCAGGCTGTCCGGAATAAGCCAAGCTCGGCATGCGTGGCGGCAGAGTGTGCCAGTCTGCTTTATTTTTTTTTAATTTCCGAGCAAATTAATGCGCGAACCTGGATTAAATCCTTCGGAACCTACATTTTTCGGACTCGGTCCGAAAGTTGATACGAAGTTCATCCAATACCGTGGAATAGCCGCGTAAAAAACACAGCATCCCCATCTCCTCATACTAGGAGGGGCGAAACTTCGCAATAAACTGCCATGTGGACACCTCTGTTGTCCACGAGTTTGGGCACCGTGGCGTGTTCCAGGCCAAGGAAACTCCTATTTCGACAAGGTTGGCTGCGCTGGTCTCGTATTTTTACAACCATAGCTTA